GCCCTTAAGGCTACTAACAACTTGTATTACACGGCTTAGTTGAATACTCGATTCTGATTGTAACTTCTTAACATGTGACACGTTGTTAATACAGCAGTACAGACCACTGTCAAGGACTATGATGAAGGTTGCTAAGGAGGATCCAGAAAGAGAAAGGAAAAGAGGTTAAAAGACGGAGCGCTGGACGTCAGATAAATCACCAGAAGAAGGCAGAGAGGAAGTAAACAATAACAGGACACAGAATGGGCTCTGTAGTGTGTTTTAGTATATGGCCGTGTACAGGCCCGGTTCCAGAACAAAATGACTCAGGGTGCCTCTGAGATTACAGGGGGCCCAGCAGTAGCAGGTTTACATGAGCAATAGTGGCCGGCAACAGCAATGACAAATAGCATTGATGGTCCCAATGAACAGATTATGGCCTTTGTTATGTTTTGAAACCAAGCAAGTGAGAACATTTCAAGTGAGTTAAAAGTGCAATCCTGAAATATCTCATATAGTCCAAAGTGGACTGTGGCAAGGAAAAGCACAACAGCTTCAAAGCTGTACTGATAAAACAAATGAGAACATATTGTAAATCAAGGCAAATATGATTTGAACCAGCTCATGGTTTGAAATGACAAACATTGAAAAGCAAAAGTATTATTAAAACCATGTACTAAACATCACTTTGGTCCCATCATATACTCTGGGAAGAGAATATTTACTGTGCTTGAAAACTGGATCACATCATCATGTGAGGTTGACTTTGTGACCTGGAGAACATTTCAGCTGCAACATTAGCTCGTTGATAAGCTTGGGATATGAGATCTTTTTGTAGCCATTCGTGGTGAAGGCATCTGTGCTATTGTATGCATTATGTTTGACCCAACATTTCTACAGGCATGGCAGAATATGGCACTATTTCACATGAATATTCTAGCCCTTGTCTATTTGTATACCACGAGCTGCAAGATGACCGCCTAACCCCACTGTACAGGCGGGTACTTGTTTAGATATACCTGGGCAGTCGCTGTTTTGCCGTGGTATCCTGGCACCTGCGGGCCGCAGAGGGGCGGCGTAGTTTGGGGAGACGAAGACTGCTGCTCCGGGGGCGAGGGCGGAGTCAGGCGGGAGTAAGCTAGTGTCCACAACGGAGGGTCACGTGATGTCCCCATCTGACCTGTTGCTACTGTCTGCAGTAGATGCAGTGTTGCTGGCGTTTAGTGATGGTTGCTTTAACCATGTTCGTATAAATGATTATCCACAGATGTGTGTCACTGCTGTGGAAGCACTTTGGAATGATGCACGCGCAGCGGAGCAGGTCACGCGCACCTGACACCATTTGTTGTTTGTATTTTTTGCTCCGTTCTCTTTTTTGAATAGAGGGTGCATAACATTCAACTGCCCGAAGATCCCGACGCCTGAAGGGTAAACACCAGGTTCACTAATCTACCCGCACAATTTGTCTGGTGTCGGAATGTCTCGCTATGTTAGTACATTCTTAAAAAACAAAACACCATTTTGGGTTGAAATGTGTTGTAACTGCGTTACTGAGCATTGTAACGGGTAATATATTACCCACATTTCATTAGTAATGCGTTACATTACTTCGTTACAGCAAAAAGTAATATATTACTGTAACTCCGTTACTTTTGTAACGCGTTACACCCAACACTGCTGAAGACCAGAGTTGGGTGTAACGCGTTACTGTAATAATATTACTTTTGTCGGTAACGGAGTAGTGTGACGCGCTACTTTTATAATTCAGTAATCACACTACAGTTACTAACATTGCCCCGACACGCGTTACTTCGTTACTTACTAAAATCAGTCATAATCACAATGACAGACAAGAGGGGTTTCTGCCGCAGGTTTATATGTACGTATTTGCGCGATTTGCACATCCACATCTCCACGTGCAGTCAGTGCTGCATAAACATGGCTGAGTCAGCGATAACTTTCGAGGGGTGGAGGTATGCCCATTATCTTGAGTTCGTCTGAAGAATAGACAGGAATGTGACGGTGAGGTGCAAACTGTGTCCAGGCCAGAAGCTGTTATCCACTGCTGTAAACACCACGTCAAACCTCAACAAACACCTGCAAAGAATACATGCTAAGGTGAAGCTAATAGCTAAGGACCCCCGAACCCAGAGTGAGGATGTTGTGAGTGCGCCGCCGCCGACTCCGAAGCAGCAACAATTAGAATTTGGAGGACCGGTAACCAAAGCAGAGATGGACAGGCTTGTAGCATCCTTCATAGTAGAGGAAATGTTGCCCATGTGCCCATGGAATCACCATCGTTCAGAGACATACTCTACTTTATGTAGAGAGTAACAAAGTAGTGTAATATATTGCTTTTAAAAAAAAGCAATATGTAATATATTACTTTTTTTTTAGTAACGACCCCATCTCTGGTGAAGACATGCTCTTTTGAAATGATCAGAATTTGTAAAAACACACGAACCATGTTTCAGTGGCTCTTCCTACACATGAATAATAGAAAGCCTGCAGCCGAGTTACTGTGGCCTAACAATGACACGTAGAGAGCGCATGGATTCCTCTGTAATGAGTGTGAGCATTCTTCAAATGTTATTCATAAAATAGTAACCACATCAACCAATATAACAATCTCAAGACTGTTAGGTCAACAACAAGGGACGTCTTAGCATTGAGGCAACAGTCCTCACTTTAGCTGCAACCGTTAATCCAGTGAGCAGGTTCTAGCCTCTCAAATGTAAAAGTGTATAAATAACTTATGGTGTTTACCAGTAGGGAAATACCTGGGCAATTGTTCCATCTACAAATATTGCAAAACGATTTGTAAATAGCTCATTTAGGCGAAGCACCTACTCCCTATTTGGTAAATGTTTATATTTAAACTACGCCTTTATATTTGAGTGTGACATTTTCTGCAAGACAAAGAGTAATCCCACAGTCTGTTTGCAGAAAATACATCACATTCAGATGAAATGATGAGTGACAATAGTCAAATTCAGTTTTGCTCTAAAACTTGTATAGATCTAATTTCTGGATTGAGCTATGAATTTTGCCCGAGGTAGACATTCTGAGAGCAAAATGATCTTTAATTTGGCACAGCACGGATGAGGGCTGATCTATCTGCCTGACACACACAGTGGAGTGAACATGAGAGAGATGGATAGACCTTATACATAAAACACAGTTTTTCGTAAGTTAACACATTCTTCCTCACTTATTCTAAATAGAAAAAAGAAAGATCACTAAGAAATCAGAGGAGAATATCATCATAAAGCCTTTTAAACATTCATTTTGAAAGCTTTTGCTTTTTTATGAAACTAATGCTAAGAATTAGTTATAGAAAATATTTAAATTATTTATAAAATACTCCTAAACATGTTTAAAGGTCCCATGTCATGCTTTTCCGGTTATTACCCATCCCCTTGTGTGTTATGAAGGTTGTTCTGCATGTAAACGGTCTGCAGAGTCACAAACCCTCAAAGTGCACCCTGTAGCGAGTACAACTCTAACACAGAAAGACCTGTCTATGCTGCCCCAGAACGCCTCGTTGGACATTTCTCTTTTTCCATTGTTTGCTACCTGAGTATGATGACGTAACGATACCCAGGTCCAAATGGACCAATCCGTGGACACACACACACACTCACTCACTCACTGCGGATTTCTCAGCCTGAACACAGCCAGGCTGTGAGTGTGTGCTCAGGCTGAGTTCAGATGAGTTCCGCTGTGTCTCGCAGACCCCACGCAGAAACCAGGAAACGGCCCCAATAATCCAGCTTACACTGTCCGCTCCTCGCAGCAGCGAGCCCCGCAACGTCCCGCCCACACGGCACCCAGACCCTACGCACATACTTGCCAACCCTCCCGATTTTCGCGGGAGACTCCCGATTTCATTGCCCTCTCCCGGTTTCCTCCCGGGGTCATATTTGTCCCGCATTTCTCCCGATTTCTGACAAAATCAGATTTACTCAGGACTGTTTCCACTCGGACTTTAATACAGCTACACCATTGTTTGGTTTCCATGGTAGCGCGTCTCTTTAGTAGCGCGCGCAACTGACAGTCTGAGAGGGTGAGGAAGATAGTCACATAAAACAGAACAAGAATCTACAGGTCCAGCCCACACATATGCTCCATCAAGGATGGTACTACAGGCCGCAAGGCAGTGCACTTACCACTACAATAAGCATGTTAGTGTTAATCTAATACAGCTCCGGCGATGATCCACTAGCACCCCCCCCCCCCCCGCGTTGGTTTTGAAATGCTCCTGATTTCTGAGGTCTCAAGCTTGGCAAGTATGCCTACGCAGCATTCTCATCTGTTTGTCATTACTGGTGTCATTTTCTGGTTGGTAATACCATTGTAACACATAATCACTGATGTTCCGCTGTAACGGTGGTGGACTCATCAGAACAGAGTGGGCGAGCTGACCAATCAGAGCACAGTGGGCTCACAGGGAGAGGGGGGGGGGGGAGGGGGGGGGGCAGGAGCTCCAACAAGGCGTTTGGGACACATTTGTTGCCAATCTGCTACTGGTATATTGCAGGATAATTATTTTTCCATTAATAATACTGTGTTCATTTTGATGGTTAAATTGTAATATTTAAACCATGTTAGTTAGAAAGGTTTACATATGTTCCACTTAACCAATATCTGGACTTTGTTATTGGATGCATACTCACCATAAGGAGTTCCTGGACCAAACTCTTTTGCTGCGTCCTGCATGTAATGGCCCAGCAGCTCTGCATTGGTATTTCTGGAGGGGGCCTTCCTGTCCAACTTCTCATAGAGGAACTCTTCAATCCTGGCACCTACACAGAGAGCCAAGAAGAGCTTTCAGTTGCGGCACAGCCAGGAAAAAAGAAATGTTTGGATTTATACGTTTATTTACACTGATAAAAAAACCGATATATATATATCCAAAAAGAACACACTTAAGTGTAGTTAACTACTACTCACTGATGTATTGCACTCACTTCATTATGATAACATTTTAGCTTCTTGTTGCTCATACTTATTATTTTGTGGTTTATTTTTCACACATTTATAGTTGATTTTAAGCCAATAATATGAACCACCATAGACAACTCAGTAATTATTTAACATTAAATGTTAAATAATTACAGGGGTATTTGGTTAACATAACACAGTAGAACACGTATTTATTGTGTTCAGGGTCAATGAAGACAAATCAGAAGTAATAGGGGTAATTTTTGGACTTTTGTTAATTAGGTGTGCCTGCTGGATGTATGGATGGATAGCTAACATCAAAATGAATATGTAAACATGTGACTTATGGTAATAGTGTTCAGCCCCCTGTGCTTAGCTTGTGTATTCTTAAATTCCTGATCAAAGATGTACCAAACTATATGCTTAGTATATTGTAAACATGTATTTTGTAGCTTAAATTAGCTTTAGCCTCATCCTACCAACATACAGTGCATCCGGAAAGTATTCATACCCCTTAACTTTTTCACATTTTACAGCCTTATTTCAAAATTGTATTCACACCCTTTGCTATGACACTGAAAATTGAGCTCAGGTGCATCCCGTTTCCACTGATCATCCTTGAGATGTTTCTATAACTTGACTGGAGTCCACCTGTGGTCAATTCAATAGATTTGACATGACTTGGAAAGGAACACACCTGTCTATAAGGTCCCACAGTTGACAGTGCATATCAGAGCACACACCAAACCATGAGGTCCAAGGAATTGACTGTAGACCTCAGAGACAGGATTGTATCAAGGCACAGATCTGGGGAAGGGTACAGAAAGATGTCTGCAACATTGAAGGTCCCAACGAGCACAGTGGTCTCCAGCATTTGCAAATGGAGATGTTTGAAACCACCAGGGCTCTTCCTAGAGCTGGCCGCCCAAACCAAATTGAAACTCGGGGGAGATGGGCCTTAGTCAGAGAGGTGACCAAGAACCTGATGGTCAGTCTGACAGAGCTCCAGTGTTCCTCTGTGGAGATGGGAGAACCTTCCAGAAGGACAGCAAATCAGGCCTGTATGATAGAGTGGCCAGAAGGAAGCCACTCCTCAGCAAAAGGCACATGAAAGCCCACATGGAGCACCTAGAGCAGGGGTTCCCAACCTTTTTTCCCCAAGAGCCCCCCCAAATGACTCCTGTTGGAGTCAAATCATCTGAGGCCTGGCGATCTTTGGCGCCCCCCAGGTTGGGAACCACTGACCTAGAGGACTCTCAGACCATGAGAAAGCAAATATTCTGGTCTGATGAAACCACATTTGGCCTGAATGCCAAGCATCATGTCTGGTGGAACCCAGGCACCGCTCATCACCTTGCCAACAACATCCCTCCAGTGAAGCGTGGTGGTGGCAGCATCATGTCTGGTGGAACCCAGGCACCGCTCATCACCTTGCCAACAACATCCCTCCAGTGAAGCGTGGTGGTGGCAGCATCATGTCTGGAGGAACCCAGGCACCGCTCATCACCTTGCCAACAACATCCCTCCAGTGAAGCGTGGTGGTGGCAGCATCATGTCTGGTGGAACCCAGGCACCGCTCATCACCTTGCCAACAACATCCCTCCAGTGAAGCATGGTGGTGGCAGCATCATGTCTGGAGGAACCCAGGCACCGCTCATCACCTTGCCAACAACATCCCTCCAGTGAAGCATGGTGGTGGCAGCATCATGCTGTGGGGATGTTTTTCAGTGGCAGGAACTGGGAGACCAGTCAGGATCAAGCGAAAGATGAATGCAGCAATGTACAGAGAGATCCTTGATGAAAACCTGCTCCAGAGTGCTCTGGACCTCAGACTGGAGCGAAGGTTCACCCTTCAACAGGACAACGACCCTAAGCACACAGCCAAGATAACAAAGGAGTGGCTTCAGGACAAGTCTGTGAATGTCCTTGAGTGCCTCAGCCAGAGCCCAGACTTGACCCCGATTGAACATCTCTGGAGAGATCTGAAAATGGCTGTGCTCCCCATCCAAGCTGATGGAGCTTGAGACGATCTGCAAAGAACAATGGGAGGAACTGCCCAAAGATAGGTGTGCCAAGCGTGTAGCATCATGCTCAAGAAGACTTGAGGCTGTAATTGCTGCCAAAGGTGCTTCAACAAAGGATTGAGTAAAGTAAACTTATGTTTGTGATATTTGAGTGTTTTATTTTTAACTCATTTGTAAAAATTATTTTAAAACTTTTTTCACTTTGTCATTATGGGGTATTGTGTGTAGAATGTTGAGAAGACAAATGTAATCCAAATTGAAATAAGGCTGTAACATACAAAAATTAGGAAAAAGTGAAGGGGTATGAATACTTTCCGGATGCACTGTATATCAATTTCAAGCACTATGAGCAAAATGTTAACTTATTTCATTAACATTATTATTTATGCAATTGATGTTATCTGAAGGAACTATTATGATTATTATTTGGGGAAATAATAATAATCTCTTACAACATGACTGACGCATGGCAAACATTGGATTCATCTATTCAACTGTATCCATTAAAACTTGATACGCTGCAAATGAGTCTTTTTGACTGGGGTTCCCAAGGATCAAAATACATTGGTATTTAAAAAAGAAGCACTTATTAAAATAGTAACATGACATGAAGTAATTAGGAAACAATTGATACACAAAGTTATGAAATTATAGATACCATCAATATTTCTGTAACTCTCAACAAAGATGTACTGTAAGGTTTCTCTTATTGTGTCTACTGTCTGCACAGCAACTCTTATCTTAACAATATAGTCTTAAAAATGTTACGGTCTAATTAACCTCCAACTCAGCCCAAACAGTGTCCATCTCTTAAGATATAAATGTGATATGGGTGAGATGTGCATTAGACTTGAGAGGTACCAAAATACCTTCAAATGATCATGATCAGAGTTTACATAACCACACTTAAGTTTAGTTTGAAAGCAAATATCTGGGTCTTATGGTGGAGGTTCCATACAGGTCAGCTCTAAGGGCCCCTGTCTCCTGCGAGGTTCTTCTGCTTAATCAAAAACATTCTAAGAATCGCTCATATGGTTAACACGCAGCAAAACATGTGTTTTACTCAAAAGAGATGAGGTCATAAAGGGATTGATTTTTGACGGAATGCAACAGAGGTTTTTTTGCGTATTTAAGTTTGTAGGTGCTCAAATCTAAAATGCCCAAAACCAGGGATAAACATTTGTTCTTCTTTTTTATACTGTACAGACAGAATACCAGCATATCATGCTTTAGCTTTATAGCAAAGTAAAAGTGGGCTAAGGTTAAACCATTAAAAACCCCTTTGGTATAATGTATCAATACTAATGTCCTGTACAGCATATTCCGGTCAACAATCAGTGTGTGCCACTATCCTCATCCCTGAGCCTTCAACATGTATTTTGCAGCAAACCAATATCTGAATGGGTTTTGGTCATGTTAATCAATTACTAATTACTATGGCTAATAACTCAAAGACATGAGAGGTTTCCACAACACAGCACTAAAATAGGGAGGCAGAATACTTACCAGTGTGATCGACTGTAGCATGGAGAATCAAAAAGTAACATGTTAGAGTTCCCTATTCTCTAGCATGTCATTCCATATCACTGTTAACCCACAGTGTGAATAATAATATGCCTAGTGTTTGACCTCTTTGATTATAGGCGTTCTTACAAATAACCTGCCACTAACTTCTTGCACGATGTGTTGCAACTATGCTGACTGACAGGTGGTAAGAGGTGCCTACTTTGAGAATCATTTAAAGTTGTTTAAGGCTTGTCATTCGTTAGTGTGTATTGTGCATGTGCATGACAATGCACAAGCATGCAACGTAAGACACATTCCTGCCGTCGGTTTAAGATATTCTGCTGATCAACAGTTATCAGCCGTTGTGCACAGAGAGACAACACTGTTACAAAATGAAGGGAAAAAGACTGCGATAACATGGAGCTAAAAAATGATGAACATTTTGAATATTCAGAGCATTGGCCTTGAGATTTAATGAGAACAAATATTCAACACGTTTTTCATACCCAAGGGATACATAGTACATTTTGGTGAATTATAATATGAACCTAACTTTTATTTAAACTTTACCGTCAGCAACTTAAACAACTTAAACTGGACCTGTCCTGCAGGCATACGAGGGCAGCAAGACTCGGATCATCAGTGTTTACAGCACCTCAGAGCTATATATTAATACACAATAAGAAGATCCCTACCAGAAGCACTCTGCGTGTTGGACGAGTAAGACCTGATGACTAATCTGCCCTCACGTCATGTAGAACTACTACTACTGAAGTTAAACAACAGGTTTGCAGGGGGATCCATTTATGTGAAATAAATTACTTTTTGTTTGTCATTATAACATGTACACTGCAGAGGGCATGCAGACTATAACTTATTTCCCATAATAACTGCTAAACAAATCAATTATCTGACAATATAACTTCAGCAGAGTGTTAGTTCTGCTTGGAGATAATATGTAGCCTTCTCTGGAATACTCCTTAAAGCTCTAATGATAGGACTGGTGTAGTGATGGCATACTTGGGTTGGGCTGCAGCAGGACTTCAGTCTGTCTGTAGATTTTCTCCGTCCACAGCTTGGTGCAGTCTGCGCGGATCATCAGGTTCTCAAAGTGAGCGTCCAGCTCCGTCTTCTCCGCCTGGCCCAGCTTCTCCTCTGTGAACTGAGGCACAGCAACACAGCCAAACTGACACACAAGTACGTACAACGCTCCATAGCGTCAAGCTTTCATCAATTATTATGAAAACATAGGGACAGCATTCACGACAGCTCATTATTCAGTCACCCTCAAACTTGTCTACACATTAAGTTTACAACAACGTTTCATGTTTTACTGAGGTATTTTAACTGATTTATGATAATGGTTACTAGAGACTGGTAGCCTGCACATGCTTGGCCTAAGATATAACGTTACATTAACAAGTAAACGCCTATGGCAAACAGTATTTGGACAGCCTGTGTTTAATTAAAGTAAAACGTAGGCCTTGACTGTTCCAAGCTGAATATAAAGTAATGTATCCTCCTGCTATGCTAATAGGTAGCGTTATGTTAGCTTGTCAGGGCAATAGCCATGGTAGCGTTAACCCAACAGCAGTCCCTGAGTAGCGTCACTACAGCTGGCTGTCAAAATGAAAGGAAGCATCATCAGCCGAACCACAGCCATGTTACTGTGCACGAGGGTTACATTACCTGGACAGCCCGCGTGAAAAACACTCCAGCACCGGAGGCTATTTTCTTCACGTTGAAATCCATTATGTTTGTATCTGCTTGCTTGTGGTCATACACTGACTCGAAGCAGACTACTAGCACTCGACACGGCTGGATGTTGTGGCATACGCAGCTAAACTGCAAAGATCACGTGACCGTCATGGCCCTAGGAGCGTCAAACCATGCCTCAAACACGCATCGCTCTGCCACATTTTAAAAGCAAAACATTGGACTACAGGCGAGTTTCTTTAGAAAAAATATCGTTATATATTTTATAAATTACAGCAGTAACACAAGGCTTGAGCAACTGTTACATTAGTCGTATGGTCTTGCTTTTCATTTTAAATATGCAATACCAACAGTTGGCCAACAGATGCCACCATTAAACAGCGTTTTGCCTTCAAATCTTTTAAGATTTATTTTGAACATTTTCCCGGAAACGTGCTGTCCGACTGTAAATGTCCGACTAATATGTACACTGACGATAAAACTATAACAGTGACATTTGTAAATGTTACTGCATATTGGAACTGGCAGAGTACATCCAATATTATTAAACATCCCATCAAATGTATCAAAATTGAAGGCAGCGGCATTAGCAATGCAACAAATTAGAAAGCCATACAAAGACAGTTTTAAAATATAGACAGCCTACTACTACCATGGATGTAAAAAGATCACTTTTTTACTCATGAAGATCGTGACCATTAACTAGAACTTCCGGTGCAGCCCTTCAACATAAAACGTGCCTACAATTGGGTTGGGCAATGTTGTTGCGTCTGAACTATGACGTAACTACGTAAAAAGCTGTCGTCTCGGAGCTGGCTCACATGTGAGTTTTGTTGATAATTGTCCTGTTGATATTAAGTGTTAAACAAATGTTAACGTAACTTTGCTATCTTTGTGTACCAGTTGAATATCCGCTCACTGTGAGGGTATTTACTTTTGACAGTTAGCGCTGTGTGATACTCCAGCAAGTGAAATCACGTTATAGCCTGCTAGCTATTTCTACCACAGATTATTCAGTTAGCTCAGATTTAGTTTACTCGAAGTTAGCTTTAAACTATTGCTTACGGTTTTATGTACTACTAGATAGATATATCTGAGTGTACTCGTTATACAGTCGAGACGTAACGGGATAACTTTTGTCTTTTAGTTTTTGCACCAGCACAGTGACGTTATGCAAAGCAGGGGGCCATGGCTTGGAAGTCGAGGACCCGCAACCTGCAGGTGTTTGACACCGAGCTGAGCGCCGACACGGCGGAGTGGTGTCCTCTGTCCTCCATGCAACACCTCCTGGCCTGTGGGACCTATCAGCTGCAGAAAGGGGTGAGTGTGACGCAGGGGCGGATCTAGAAAAATATTCATGGGGTGGCAAGAGGGTGGCAGGAGAATTTGACGGGTGGCATCCCCTGGCAGAAGTATATGTTGATTTAATCGCAGTCATATCAATCAATGTTAACTTGGAAAGCCACAATATTTATATTTTAACTCAATAACATTAGGTGACATATAGGATGCTCCGATCGATCGGTCACCGATCGAGATCGGCCGATACTCACTCTCTACCGATCGATCGGTGCTCTCTAAACATGCCGATCGCATGACGTAAAATACATGACACTTTTCTCTGTGTGCGGCAAAACAAGCTCGCCAAAATGGCTTCACCGGTCTGGCAGTATTTCAAGGTGTCCGAAAAAGACAGTAAAATAGCGGATTGCAACGTGTGTGAAGCAGAAATCCTGCAGCTCCGCCCGCTGTGACGGACCGGTGAGCGGAGCGAAACACACAAGAGTTAGACCTAACACACTTAGCTATTTGATCTACCTCTGGAACAAGCTAAACTAGTTATTATAAATATATTTATTCTTCACTGTCGGGTCACTCATTACTGGATCAGTGAGCTGCATGAGATACTGACAGGCTGTCAGGAGAGAGAGAGAGGGGGGAGAGAGAGAGGGAAAGAGAGTGCTTCTGCTAATTTCTCCCGTGTTATTATCCAAAGTGAATGTAAACTTGAATAATGTACATCATTTGAATGTAATAATTAAGTTGATTGTTGTTTGTGGAAGCTCCAGTGAATGAGCCCCATTAACTGAGTTTTAAACATCACTTTAAATGGAAGATTTAAAGTGATGTTTAAATCTTCCATTTAGGCCCCGCCCACTTGATCGGATCGGCGATCGGTATCGGCCGATACTGATTCCGGCGATCGGAGCATCCCTAGTGACATATTATTGTGGCACATCAGTAAAGCCTTAAATTGAATATAAGGTGGCAGACATAATTGAATGAATTTTAACTGAATGAGTTTGTCTCACTCTTAGACCAGCAGGAGTACCAAATATATGCAGACTGCTGCAATAAGTACTAGGGATCGACCGATATGGTTTTTCAAGGCCGATACCGATACCGATTATTAGTAATCAAGGAGACCGATAACCGATATTTGGAACCGATATACATTTGCAGTAAAATCAGAAAATCTTGGTGTCAAAATGTAGAATAACACAAACTCCAACACAACTCAACACAACTTCTTTGAAATGCATTTAAGCATATATTATGTTTAATGAACTTTTAAACATCTTACAACTGGTTTCCTCTCTGTGCCCTTTTCTTTAGTGCAGCCATCTACAATGAGTTAGAGAGAGACAGAGAGTTAAAAGTGGGGCTGCAGGCTGACATGCTTAACTAACAATACTGCTTAATTTATTATATCAAAACAATGCCTGTCTATCTAGCATAACATCCCAATAAGCTGCTAGCAACTGCAAAACACTAGTGCTAGCTAATGTTTTGCAAACTATTAAAAGTGAGGCTATTACAGTAAGCCTAACGTTAGTCTAGTAGCCTCACTTCTAATATTTTGCTAAACATTTGCTAGATACATGTTGGCTATCTAATGAGCTTCACATATCAAGCTGAAAAACTGCGAGGCTCCACTCAGGAGTTAATGATGAATGTTCCTCAAGATGCTTGCTCGCCCTCCTTCAAATTTGAAAGTAATTACTATCATAAATCAAAGGAACAGTTCAGCGCCACACAACTTCATTGCAAACAGTTCAGGGTTTCCCACACATAGACTATACTTGGGCGGGCCGCCCAGGTATATTAACGGCCGCCCAAGTATATTTCGCGACCCATTTCGTTTTTTTTTTCTAAGTTTTATTTTTATTTTTATTCGTCCGTGACCACGACGCCATCTGCGATCGATTAACTTGTGGACAATGATCCCTCGCTCTATGCCTCCTGTGCCCAGTCCCGGACTGGCCATCGGGAGGACCGGGGGGCTTCCCGATGGCATGGCCTGTTAAGTGATTTTATGATTATTGAAATGTATACAGTTCTGTTTCATATAGGTGTTCTCATAGATGTAGTCTCTTTATTTTGCATGCATTTAACTCCAACGTTTAAAAAAAAATCTTACTGGGGGAGCATGTCCCCGGACCCCCTAGAGGATTTGAGGTCCACCCCCACTTAAAATCACATGGATAGGTTCCTAAATACATTAACCATTTAAAAAAATAGTAACCCATGTCCATATGTTTATTTGTGGGTAGTAGATTTAAACTATAGGGCTATCACTATGGGCCCTGCCTGTACCTGTTCGCTCTGCCATCGCGTGAAGGGTCTGCTAACAAGCGACCAGCAGAAAGGCTAATGTTAATGTTGTTGCCTCAACCTCGCGCCAGGGCCGGGGGAGGGGTTACAAGGCTCGCGTCTTGTGCTGCATTCACTTGCACTCGGACATTAGAGATTTTCTCTCATAAATTTCCGATGAGCCACAACTTTTCTTTCAAAACAAAGCTGCCAACTGGGGTGGCAACTAGGGTGGCAAGGCATTTTTCTGAGGTGGCAGCTGCCATCCCGTAGAACCGCCACTGTGGCGTTACACACCGAGGTTACAGACAGAAGTGTCTCAGGAGTCCTGGGACACTTCTGTCTGTAATAATAATAATAATAATTCTTTACATTTATTATAGCGCTTTTCCAGATGCTCAAAGCGACTTACAAATACACATTACACATATTTTTTATACATGCAATGGTCAGATACTGTGGACAATACCAACAGGAGCAAGTTCAGGTGAAGTGTCTTGCCCAAGGACACAACGGCTTTACAGACGCAGCAGCGGCGGGTTTCACCCCTTGATCTGATGATCATTGCACAGCGCACTGCGCCACACCATCCATCTTCACGCCTCGAAGTCATCGAGGCGCTTTTACAAGTACACATTGATATCATACATGTACTGTGGACAATACCCACAGGAGCAAATCCGGGTGAAGTGTCTTGCCCAAGGACACAACGGCCTGACGCAGTGGCGGCAGGAGCGGGTTTCGAACTGGAGTTCCCCAGCACCCCCCTTGATCTGATGATCAGATGCACAGACCACTGCGCCACCCGTAACCTCGGTTATGGGATGTCCTGGGCTAGGACATCCCATCCCTGTTGTGTGGGCAGAGTTACTAACCTGAGTTAGCGATGAGATCAAATAAGATTAGAGGACTGTATTGATCCCAAATTGGGAAATTGCTTTTTTTCACAGCAGCATGTAAACAATGCATTGCACCTTAGTTAAAAATAAAACTATTGAAACGTTTTTTATAAACAGTTAATATACTGTACATACATAGGCGGCCCGTGAGGCTCTGGTTTGGGAAGGCTACATAACTTTTTTTACCTGGCGCTGCCCGACTGCGGCGTCTATATAGATAAGAGATCAACTCAGTGAAAGCACCGCCTGCTGACCAATCAGAGCTCTGTGTGCGGAGTTTAAAGCTATCAAGTCATATTACAGGATAAAGGAAATACAGTTTAAACTGCCATAGGGGTCAGTGTATGTTTTGGTCATTGGATTTTCTTTTCACAAATGGATATTCAAAAACGACTGGATATTTAATTTTCGTTTTAAAATTGAAAAACCAAAATTGAAATACAAGGCGTTTTTCTTTATCATTGTCAAAAAGGGATTTACTAAACTTAAAAAACGGGATGATTTTCATTTTCTACTTCTCAAAACAAAAAATAAAATCACTAGAAAACAGAAACAAAAAACTACAGTTTTTTCATATTCTGTTACCGGAAGTTACCTTACAAAATAAGAGCGCAGATGAGGTCAGAATCCGTGTATCTACGGTCCATTTGTCTTTCTTTATTAAACAAGTAAACGGAAGAGCATCTGCAAGGCGTTTTTGCTTTTCACTTTACTAAATGGTCAAGAGCAGTGACGTGCGGTGAGGTTCATGGCTGGTGAGGCACTGACTCTTTCAGAGTCAGATTTACAAATGTTATATTTTGACCTTAATCGAAATATTCGGTTATTTTCAAAAGCTTTTTTAGTCTGATGCTTCAATTCATTTTAAACAGACCGTTCAACAAAAGGATACCCACAATCTAAATATTGGATTGTTCTTTCTTAGTAAGATCCCATTTTCATTACAATTGTGGTCTTACCTTGACTTGAAGATGAACGGCCCGTCCACACAGCGGCGTGTGTTGAAGCTTCCAACGCTTCTGCCCATTCACTTTGAATGGGGTGACGTCACTTTTAGCCGAACTGCATTTTGGGAAGCGACGTGGAGCGTTGCTGGCGTCAAAAGTTGAGCAATGTTCAACTTTTGACGCCTCGACGGAAGCGTCAGCCAATGAAATCCCGTTTATGCAAATCTGCCCGTACAATCGCTAGCCAATCAAACCGCGTGTATGCTGGGAGAGACTACACAGATTCTGACCTGATCTGCGCTCTTATTTTGTAAGGTAACAGAATATGAAAAAAAACTGTAGTTTTTTTGTTTCTGTTTTCTAGTGATTTTATTTTTTGTTTTGAGAAGTAGAAAATGAAAATCATCCCGTTTTTTTAAGTAAATCCCTTTTTGACCATGATAAAGAAAAATGCCTTGTATTTCAATTTTGGTTTTTCAATTTGAAAACGAAAATCAAATGTCCAGTCGTTTTTTGTTTTTGAATATCCATTTGTGAAAAGAAAATCCAATGACCAAAACATACACTGACCCGTAGGCCTATGCAGGGAAGTCACGGACGTGTCGCACTTACCATTCATATCACATCATCAATCATATAATATCATAATGTATCATATATCTCCTTATCTGAGTCAGCTGAGCCGTATCTGGCCGTGCAACACTCACAGTGTCACATACTGTATGCAGAAGTATTATTTTAAGCAACACGTTAAGTTGACGAAACACTCGAGACAAATGTAATTTAAAGTCAGATCCACTCGTGTCTTCATAAACCTGTTAATGTAGCCTACGCATTCAAACACTCTGTAGTTTATTTTTAACCAGCTGTTCTGTATTCACCTTGCAGGTGAAACTATGTGGCTTGTATCCTGGATTATGTGTTCTAGTCATCATGGATGTTTAAAGTTTAACTTCTTCATATTTGTCTAATATTATAGTTTACTTTTCATTAATGAAGTATGACACTGCGTTGTCAGTATGCTTGTCCATGTTTGTGATTGGTCAAATGTTGCTAACCCCGCCCCTTTCACGTGAACGCGTTCTCAGCTGGAGAGAGAAACCCTGGCTTGATTTACCGAGTTGATAACCAGCGCCGTAGGACCGTTTAGCGAGATCTCGTTTGTTAGGGTTAGTTAAGATAACTCAAGCATATCAGGGTCTGTTGAACTGGCTTCGTGGTACAGGGCACAGGTGGCTGCATAGCTGCGCTAATGTCAAAGACACAAACATTATACATTATATTTTTATTTTACCAGGATGCAGTGACACAAATATTTGGGAAGGCTTCGCCTTCCCTAGCCTACAGTACCCGCCGCCCCTGTGTACATATCAACAGTGTATACATAAACACAAGCAGTTAATATATATAATTACATATGTGGAGTGGTGGTGTCAGGTTAATAAAAGAGAAACTTTATCATTAATGAAACTAATCTGACCTGTTTTCACTTTATTCCTGTCATATATTCCCTGTCTGTAAAAAAAAAAAAGGCACGACATCAAACCTTTTTTGGAGGAGTTATTGTACACAGAAACATTGCTTCTGCACATATCTGCTTATTTTGCACCTGATTCTGATTGTTTCATTTGAATTCCAACGAATCAAAAAATAAATAAATATTATTGTAATTAAATGTATTGCACATACTTATTACATGATTATTTGGGATATAATGAATTGCAGCAGAACATATTGGAGCTACAGCCACTCCTCTTGTTGCTGTCTGACTGATGATTTCACTTCCACATTCTTCCTGCAGGCTGGGGAGGAGGATGCTGCACCGAGCCGGACCGGTCGTTTGTACCTTTTTGAATTTCGGCGAGAGATATCGATGAGCCCCCCTCTCACTGAGCTACAGCGCATGGACACAGCAGCTATTTTAGATTTGAAATGGTAAAAGACCATAGTTTTGACGATTGTAACTATTGACCTCGTCGTCTGCTTCCTTCCTGTTCATTTTGTAGCTATTGTTCTCAGGTGCCATGTGCCGGTGTCAGGGGAGGCGGTGCTGGGACTGGCAGCTGCCAACGGAGAGCTGCAGCTGTACACACTGTCACACAGTCAGGTGAGAAATGTGGCATCAGTAGAATCACAACCAGTTTTTGACACATGATCGCTGAATACATCAGCCTTTGAGATTAAAACTGATTTAAAAGCAGTTTTTCTCCAACAATAAGAAGTCCATATGAGCCCTTTTCTCATAAATGCTGAACATAACTCTGAATAAACTCACTTATAAATGTTGCTTCATGTGTCTGTTAGCAAAAACTGTATACAATGCGCAAAATCAGACGGCTTGAGTTTGTATACCAAATAGCAACTTCATTGCTGTCCGTACCGTAAATACAAACAGTCTCGTCTTGCATTGCCTTTAGGAAATAGCCAAAGAACAAAATAGATGGATCAGGGAAACGTAATAGGTTATGTGCTGCATTGGAGACATGGATCTTTCAAAAGGGCCAAAAAAAAGTATGAGAACATCACAACCATATGTGCCTCTGATGTTTAGCAGGGCCGTGTTGAACTGTTAGATTTTAAAGCAGAGTTTTCTCTATTTGACAAAACACCAGGATCCCTTCCCAATAGATGGACAATATATTGTGTTGTTGTGGTCCTCTGCACTCACTGATGTGTGTTTCTAGTAGGAGGGGGGCCGCAGCCTACACCCTCTGTGCAGTTTGGAGGTGGGGGCCGAACGGCTGGCTCTGTCTTTAGACTGGTCTACTGGAAGAATGGACAGGTAACAAACGATCTGCATCTGTTTTTCTCCATCAAAGTTCACATCACATTTTCTATGTATCTATTATAACGTGTTACTGTTACATGCAGTATGTCTGCAGTAGGGACATAATACTTAGTCCTAACACGGCTCCTTAAACTTTGTCCCTCTTAATCATATCTGCCCTGTTCAAAAGATTTTGGGACAGAATAGCAAGAAAAACATGTTTGTTGCATACTGTTACGAACTCAGATACTCAGGGTATAGGACCCAATTGCACGACCCAGGAGACAGAGGTAAAGTATTTGTAAGATACTTTATTTTCAATAGACGAACAAAAATAATCACTATCAAATCTCTGGATGAGATGACAAAAAGAGAACAAAAGAAAATGGCTCACGTAGTAAGGAACAACATATTTTGACAACAAGGAGAGCATAGATCTGACCTAGGCATGAGACAAGACGAACTGACGAGGAACACTGGGAGACTGGGGAATTGAAACACACGACAACAAGACACAGGTGGAGACAATCAGGGGCGGGGCTGGTGCTGATGAGCACGGGAGACACACAAAAGGTAGACAATCAGGGAGCCTGGAATGACAGGAGCCTCATCCCAATACCCCTCCTCGACTCCTCTCTTCCCCTCCTCCGGGACTTGACCCGGAAATCGATCAAGACACGCCATTTTGAAGGACGTCCCAATAGCTGAAATGCACACGGAGGAGTCGAGGAGGGGTGAGGGAGGAGACGAAAGGGAGGATACACGCGAGCAGACTACGCGGAAGTGTTTTCACTACTCGCGTATAAAAGCCCCGCCCCCACCTTCACAGCTGGTCCATTTGAACAGAGGAAAACCGACAACTGGAAGATGAGTGGAAAAGCGTCACATAAATGTATAAGTGCTCACAGCTCCGTGGGAATTATTATGTGCAATTCATTTCTAAATTACTATAATTATATTTTTATTTAAATGTAGGCTACATTTTACACCAAAACGGAACACAAAAGCAGGACCAACCATCATTGAATTCCTTGACTAACAAGAGAAAGATTCATTCATTTAAATATTTAACCGGAAATGGGCCGGTTCTAAGGAGTTATTCAGTTAAGCCCGATGAGAGGGGATACAGCTGTGCACATGTCATCATTAACAGACGTCGTTTAAGAGTGACGTTTGAGTGAACGAGGACATCCCAATGAATACCTGAGGACTCCTCTGTCTTCGCCTCTCCTCCCTGGGTCCTTCTCACTTCGGTTAAATGGATTCCTTGCGTCCCTCACTTGCGTCGTTTCCCTGCGTCTAGTCCCTGCGTCTAGTCCCTCCCACCAGGGAAGCATGGAGGGACGCAAGGAAACCACGAGAAGCAGGGAAATTAGTTTTAAGAGCAATGGGACGTCCTTTCCTCCGGAGCGTCACGTGAAGCGACGTCCGTTTGTGATGACGCTGCACAGCTGATCGTCTGACAGCAGCTCTGTCCCCGTTATTTCCACACACACCCGCCTCTGTTAGTACACATTTACTGACACAAACATGTGTATCATCTGTTGTAGACCCCAATAAATAAAATAAAATAAGAACTCATTCTCAAAAAAGATAAATGCCATTCTTAAAATGTATAAACGAAAAAAGCGATCGTGAAAATGTTTCCAATAAATGAAGAAAATGATTTTTGACCACGTTGTTGTTCAGATATATCACATATTTGTAACTAAATGAAACATGAATTGAAACAAAACACAGTATAAACTGAGGAGTGACTCCCGTGAGGTTCATGTATTTTCTTCACTCCGCTGGGAAACTGCTCTCATGTCAAGAAGCATCAGATCAGTGCATGCACTGCATCGTCCAATCAGTGAGCGATACACAGTAAGGGGGCGGGGCGAGTGTCTGAGGATTTCATCAGAGGATGGTCTGGTGGTTCCTCGGTTATTGCTCCTCCATTATCGCTCCTCGCTCCTCCTGCAAAAATAAGGCCATTGAGACGCTACTCAAGATGGCGCAGACAAATCAACTTCCGGTGAGACAGAGACCGAGGAGCGAGGAAATGAAAAATAAGAGAAGTGAGAAAGGGCCCCTTGTGTCTCTCACTCGCATCTTACGGAGGCGGAGCTAAGATGCAAGGAAGGGACGCGAGTGAGGGAAAGGAGGAGTCGAGGAGGGGTATTGGGATGAGGCTAGGGTAAACGGTGAGTGACAAAACAAAACAGGAAGTGGAAGACAATACAACCAACATAAAATGTGACTATCTCAACATTTCTGTCGGTGCACAACACATACTGCAAAATATGACCTGATACACTAAAACAGGGGTCACCAACCTTCTTGAGACTAACATATAAGAAAATAATTTTCACTTATCACTGTTTCAGCACAATCATTATAAATAATAATTATATATTATTATTACTATTAAAAGTATTAATATTATTTGTATCATATATTATTATTATATATAGCTACAGTCTAAGGAGCAGATGAGATTATTTTCCCGCTGCAGTGACAGCGGAGGTCAATAAAAACTCTGCTGAGATTTTGCCTAAACAGTTAAATATGAACAACATAATTCAAAAGGTTTGTGTTTATGTGTTTGCCTCGGACAGACTTGTTCATGTTGTTCTGACGGCATGTCTTCATAATAAATCACTAATTGTGTGTGTGAGCAGCAGTGATGTGCGGGTGGTGTGCAGTGACTCAGCGGGCTGCGTCAGCGTGCTTTCTCTGGCTGAAGGCGCTCTGGTCTCACTCTCCCAGTGGAAGGCTCATGACTTCGAGGCCTGGATCTCTGCCTTCTCCTACTGGGACACACAGCTGGTGTACTCTGGTAACACTCTTTCAAATCATAAACAGTTCCTTTTTAACCAGGGCTGTCCCTACGCAGATATTATTTATTCTTACCGTGGCTGTCAGCCTGCCTAAATGTAACCAATAATAGCATGTTTGTATATCCTTGCATAGTTTAGCTTAGGTAACATCCTTAATTAATGAATTGATAATGTTACACATTCAATATTACATCTCCATCAACAGACATTAGTGTCAGTGCAGCATGGTGCCCTGTTCAGGCAGAGCTCAGAGTGAGCTGTCTCTGTTAGCATGTGCTACCAGAGACATGGTTATTATTAGGAAAGCTGGGGTGTAGAGTGTTGGCTCAGGAATAAGGAGAAAAAAGGGGAGCGGGGTTCTTTTTAATCTCCATTTTAAACTCAGGTCAAAACTTTAAGAATAAGCATTCAATAATAGTGCGAAATACCATTCTATTTATTTAATTTTCAATATAGATCAAAGGTTGAGAATGATGCCAATCTTTTGAGAGGGAAACAAACTTCTAGCATTGGTGCATGTCCTTATGATTTGACTTCATGCTCTACGTTTGGACCTTTTCCCCCTGTGGGCCTAATCCTCTCTTGTTGCAGTGGTATACTGTATATACCTGATCCCAGTCCCAAAGCAGGTTGGGGATGTTTATTATTTTCAGAATAATCTGTACGTTGGAATAGATATTGCTGAATTCTTGATTTATTTACAAAACATTATATAGATCCCAACCAGTGACCTGCGGTGAGGTTCATGGCTGGTGAGGCACTGACTCTTTCAGAGTCAGATTTACAAATATCATATTTTGACCATAATCGACATATTTGGTTATTTTCAAAAGCGTTTTTAGTTTAACAGACTGTTCAACAAAAGGATACCCAAAATCTAAATATTGGATTGTTCTTTCTTAGTAAGATCCCATTTTCATTACAATTGTGGTCTTACCTTGACTTGAAGATGAAGTCCATGCTATCCTTCTGGACAACAATCTCCATTACATTTTTGTAAAAGTCCTCCTTATCTTCCTCTAGTTTCAAAAGTCTAGCTTGTTGTTCGCGTCTATACCGTCTCTGCGTAGAATAACAGTAGCAACAAGAACCTGTGGCCTCACTTGTGCCCCCTTCAGTGCGGCAGAGGTTATGGCTGCCTCCCCTGGTGCTTTTTTCATTGCCGTTGTATGATGAGACCAGCGAGCCTAAATATCATATATACGTGAAATAAGTTATTTAGAGACTATGGATGGCGAGGATAAATGTAATAAAGGGATCTACAAACATTACATTGGTGACATACAGTGAGATGGTGCAGGCATGCGCTTAGGGCCCGCTTTCCAGCCAGTTTCTGTGGGGTGACGCATTCTGAGGTGAGGCAGAGCTCATCTGTGCCTCACCTTACCACACAGTAACTGGCTTGAGCGCGCTCACAAAATAAGTGCCCGCGCTACATTAGTGCCCGCGCTCCAGCCAGTTACTGTGGGCTTACGAGAAGCAGAGCTCGTCCCTGCCTCACTCCTCATCGCTCCCATGTAGTTGTAGCGGAGCTCGGCAAATTTGCTAATTTTGACTATAAAAAGCGATTGGAATCAAACAGAAATCACATTTACAACACAGATCAGTGGAGACATGTTATTATTATTACTATTTAGTTTTTCTTTAGTTGTTTTTCCGTTACATTGGAGTATGACAGGTGAGGCTCTGCCTCCCCTGCCTCCCCTGACTGCACGTCGCTGATCCCAACTATTACTGATGTCAAGAGGTTGATTTGAAAATTACCAAAATCTGATAATCATACATAAATTGATCATGTTTTACATAAACACAGGACATACTGTACAATTTTTATAATTCCCTTCATTTACCAAGCAGGGCAGTTTGCAGTTCAAAATCATTGATGTGCTCTCCGTAAGACAAACTGTTTTACAACTGTTTGATTTATGTTAAGCATTTCTCTATTGCAACTTCCTATTACTTATCAGCTAACATAAACTGCAGACTGATACTGATATTACAAAAATTGCACAGTATTGCACAGTATGATTATATTATTAATCTATTGTTACTGGATGTGTAAATGCCTAATCATCCTTTGTGGTGCATAGGAGGGAACTCATTTGAATGATTTTACTAATGATAATGTCTGTTTGCCTGTGTGTATGCGTCCTCTCTCTGTTTCCCTGTGTGTGTAACAGGCGGTGATGATTGCAAACTGAGAGGCTGGGATCTCAGGGCCGGTCCGGCCTGCCCCACTTTCACCAGTAAAAGGTGAGTCCTGAAGTTGCTGTCATCCATCTCATTAATGAGGCCAGCTACATAACACTCTCCACTTTGTTCTCTTGAAGGCACTCAATGGGTGTGTGCAGTATTCACAGCAACCCGCACAGAGAACATATCCTGGCAACAGGCAGGTAAACATCCCAATTAACTATCTGTGATAACTTGTTGTCATCTGAGAATGACCTTTTCCACTGTCTGTTTACTACCACTGCTTCCTGTCTTTGGTCTCACTATTTCTGTGACATAATGTGAGCATGGTTCCCACTGGTCAGTGAAATCCCTAAAATGTGTCAATTTGAGGGTAAAATCCAGGCCTTCAAAGATCTACAAGTCATTTAAATTGATTGAATTTATATCCATTCGCTTGCACTATATATTTGATCAGTGTCTCAAACTATGCCGTGTTAGGTTGTTGAATTTGAGGGAACTATGCCTCGAAAGTCCTTGAATGTGTGTGAACTAGGGGTGTAACGGTATCCGTATTCGTCCCGTACCGTTACGGTTCGGACGTCACGGTTCGGCACACGCAGTCACACGACGAATACGCCTTTTTTTTACGAGTGGGAAAAAAGTCTGTCATTCAGGGTAGTATCCACTACACTATATATAATCCAGGGGGCGGTATTGCTCCTAAAAGCTGTTTGCCAGCTGCCCTTAAACAACAAATGAAGAACAAGAAGAAACACAACAACAAAACGAACAAACTACAAGAAGAAGAGAAGTTAGTATGGCGATTTCAGATAACACACAGGAGCTAGAACCCACCTGCTTCTTTTAAATCAGCTGTGTGGGAACATTTCGGGTTCCCTGTGGACTACAATAACGATGGAGTGTGCGAGTGGTGGATCGGACGAGGATGGTGTGTCGGCGTTGTTCTACAGTGGTGCGGTATGCTAATGGGAACACACGCCAAACATGCTAAATCATATAAGAAGGCATCACCAGATTTGCCAATCACCGGAGCCCGGCAAAAGACAGCAGCTGCTCAACAGCTGATCCCCGCTGTTTTTAAGAAGCCAATAGACATGAGAGCCGAGAGACCAAAATAAATAACGGAAGCTTTTGGCATATGTTTTTCAACGACTTTGCGCTCTTGAAACACTTTCTTATTATTTATGATGTAATATTTTCAAGACATTATTTTTAGCTTTACAGCTTGATGAAACCTTTTTGTTTGACATCAGCCATTATAGATACTATGGCCATCTGAGTGTACTGTGTATGGTTTGTTTTTAACTGTTTAATACAGTTCATTATTCAAAATGTCAGAGTTCTTTATTTTTAAACTGAAACTTGCACTACTGTTCAAACATAAATAACAACAAACCTGGAATTATGCATTTGGGACTTTTTTTTGCTTTTTCTTGTTGTACCGAACCGTACTGAACCGTGACCTCCAAACCGAGGTACGAACCGAACCGTGACTTCTGTGAACCGTTACACCCCTAGTGTGAACTCTGTGAAAGTCTGTGTCCTGGTTCCCTGGTTCTGCAGCTACGATGAGCAGGTTCTGCTGTGGGACGGCAGGAACATGCGGCAGCCTCTCAGTGAGACTCCGCTGGGGGGCGGGGTGTGGAGGCTGAAGTGGCATCCGACCCACGAGCAGCTGCTGCTGGCCGCCTGCATGCACAACGACTTCCACATCCTCCACTGCCAGCAGGCCCTCGGTGAGTGTGCAGGAGGAAGTACCTGCTCTGGATGGTTTCTATGAACTTTGTTAGTTAACCTAGGTTTGGAATCCTGATTCTTAAAGTGTAGTGACTCGAGCACAAACAATAAGTGAATCAAGAAAAAACGTACAGTAATTTCAGTGATTTGGTTAGCAAAAATGAATGAGAAAAAAAAGGGTTAAATTCAAGTTTCCACTTGTGGTACATTTATAAAAGAGTTATATCTTTACTATTTGCTGTCGTTTTATACTCACAATGATAAATCAGTTATATTTTGAAAATTATGGTTATATAAATTCTTTAAAGGTCCCCTATTATACTGTTTTTAATCAATATATTATAGGTCAAAACATGTTTCTGAAGTGTTTGGCTCCAAATACCAAACAGATCCTGCATTGTAGCATGCCATAATCCCCTCTGTTTCAGCCCTGTTTCAAAAGGGCTGATTCTCTGTCTGTTACTTTAGATGACAATAAGGAGCCACTCCCCACGCCCCTCTGAGAGATATTTGGTTACAAAGAACACAATAGGCGCTTTCACACCGGAGTACTTTTCCCCCCGAACTAGGTCGATAGGGGGGGAGATTTGGTTTCACACCAAAAAGGATCTGGAACTAGTCCCTAGTTCGCGCAAACCTTTTCACCCCCAGATAGTCCCTGCTAGAGAGGTAGTACTTTCCTGAGGAGGAAATGGTTTGTGGGTGTGTCGGCCACACTAACATTGTGAAGATAAACTTCTGTTGTTGCAATGTTGAGGTAGAATGAAGGAGTCTGGAACCGTCATTAGCCAAAGCACTGAGAGTTTTATTGATCACAGTACATTAATACGGCCGGGGAAATCACTTAGTTTCACACTGTCCCGTGCTCCACCATCATGATCTCTGCCCCAAAAGACACAAAACATCTAACAACACGAGGAGAGGCGGGCCCCCAGAAGCCCACGTTTACCTAATTAATAGCAGATGGGAGACAATAGTCTACTTGTCTCAAAGAGATGCAGACAAGCCTCAACCCTCCCCCACGGATATAGGAGAAGCGTTTGACCTGTGACCTCAACTTACAGAGGAGTCTTTGACTGATAAGTCAAACACATGTTTGCAGTATCACAGAATCTAAGAAACTATAGGAAACTCTATAAACAGATCAGATTAAAATATTCTCTTACAGATTCACTCTTTTTATCAATCTATTGATAACCAATTAACATTAGTCTAAGAATATTTCAGTCAATACTTAAAATCAATAAGCGTCTTCAGAGTTGGGTGGGCTCAGATACATTCATTACATTAAAAGTAGAACAAGATTGAAAACACTTCAATCACCCTGATTGAACACAGTCAATCATAATAAAAATCATCTCTCTTCAGTGCTTGGCATCTTTTGTCAAAAGGCACAATAATAAACACATGGGATACAAAATATTACAGCAAAATATATGTTTCAAAAATAAGATCTTTTATCATTTATCACTCAGTTAATCTCATTCATCAAACACAAATTCTAAATCAGCTTATATCTCAAAGATTTACTTTAAGGCAATTACTTATTAAAAACACAATTAGAATTTAGGATTATAAGAAATCAATTGAGGTATAAATCAGAATCATGAGAGATCCAGCTAAGGTTCCTAGTTAAGGTATAAATTCACAGTGATGAATCGATCAATCTGTAATCTGTAAAATTATAGTGTCCTCAATCTTTAACATTACTTTACGTTTACTTCATTACGCTTTATTCAAGAGTAAGGCATGATATTTAATTAATTACATTACTTCAACTATCAATCATTATGTCATTTCAAAATCTGAAGGGAAAACTAAACAATTCTCAAAATGTTTAACAATCTGAAAAGGAAGAATCAAACATTTTATTGTATAACAACCTGAAAAGGAAAAAATCAAAACATCTGTTCTTTATTCAGAGTGTCAACTGTAATCAATATTAGAAATATCTTATTGTTCAATACCTTATAAATCTGAAAATATCAATTAATTAATTAGTTTAGTGTGAAAGTGTAATCTGATCTGACAAAATATATTTATCACCACTATTTAACACATATCTGTTCATTGGGAATACAAAAACAATCATTAATTGTACATCTGTAATCATCTGATCATCCAATTCAAATGTTATCTTTGTATCAGAGCTAGAAGAACATGTTTTCCTCCTCTCTTTATGACACAGAATGTCTGGTGTAAATGAGTGTGTTGCTGCTTTGATGAAGCCTAATTTGATAAAGTTTCAAATTAATTTCTGAAATATTTCGTAATATAGTTGTCTTTGTCACATTTTATTTGGCATTAGTAAATAATTATGCACATTTACAGATACTTTACATGATATGAGTGATAACACGTGTTATAAGGGCTATTTTTTCACAATAGGTGTGCCTTGAGATTTTTTACTTGTCCTTTGGTGTGCCTTGGGCACAAACAAGTTTGGGAACCACTGGCATAAATGATAGTGGGCGTCTGAGGGTGTCATTACTGAGAAATGTCAAAGAAATTCAAAACATTACATTTGAAAACAGGTTTGCATTCCTCCACTTAAGGTGACGTTATCATTGGAAACAATAAAAACGAACTATTTTGATGTAGAATCTATAAATTGAATCGTTAGAGCAGAACAAAAATGGTTGTATTGTAGCCTGAGTTCCGTGCAGCCTCTAGTTTCACCAGGTGGAAAAATGGTCCATATAATGTGAATACATGCAGAAGTAGACAGTAAGAGGCCCCTGACATTAGGCCTATTTTTTAAAAATAGTAGGGGCTCTTCACTCTGCATAGCAGTATGAATAGCCTTAAAAAACATACAACCCACTCCGTGGTAACGAGAGTCATATTTCTGACCCATATGCCCTAAGTGAAGCCGTTAGTCTCATCTAACTGACCCAAGGGTTGGTGCTGGTGTGACAGTTCCAAGTGTTCAGAGCAGATGTCAAGCTTTCAGTTCATGGCTCGGTGGGGGGGAGCAGACCCACGTGAGACAGTATCAAGGCTGTAATGTTCAGTGTGAGGCCCGTCATTCTCTCTGGGTGCAGGAAATGGTGCCCATTCTCGGACCAAACCATTAATGTCATGTAGAGCAGCCATAGCATCTCTGTGACTGCACTCAGCCGGACTGTAGCAGGGTAGAACTGGGTGACTCTTAGTGAAGCTGTCCAACGCCATTAGACAAAATGAAACCACGTGCTAACAAAAAAACACAGGGTCATCAATGTCTCTCTTTACCATTGGCCTAATCATAAACAAATTAGTGTGAAAAATGTGGAACACTAATCCATCATGTGGAATGTTGAGTTAATTTAAATAATTACTTATGGGTTGAAATCAAATTAACATTAACATTAGAACTAAAGTCAGTTAACAAATTTGACTTGCACAGATCAGTAATCAATACACCATATTTCCAGCTCCGTGATGAAAACGATAACAAGCAGGGATGCAAACTTGTCATCTTTTGGGGAAATGTTGCCGTTTTGAATCCAAAATAGGTCGTTTGTGTGATTCATGTTGATCTGCAATAAAATATTATTGGGGTATGGACAGGGTTGCTAACTTTGGGTACCTGGCTGGAGTGAGATTTTGATATCATGGGTTTAATTACACACAAGCGCACGAAGTGACTGCTATCGTGTCAGTAGCGGGACCTTAGCATATATTTAGGATATATATATATATAATATATAGGGCCGGGACTCGATTAAAAAAATTAATCTAATTAATTAGAGGCTTTGTAATTAATTCATCGAAATTAATCGCATTTTTAATCACATATAAATATTTGACCTAAGAACAGTGAGAAGCAATTTTTTTCACATGGATTTTAGTGTACCATTAGGCGCATTCACACCGCAGTACTTTTCCCACAAAGGTTCATGAGAACTTAGTTCATGAGAACTCTTTGAACCTGGGGGTGGATTAGGCAAATGAAGCCGCTGACGTCACTTCTTCTTCTTCTGCTTTGGGTTTACTGGCAGGCCGCAAACCACTTCACGGCGTATACTGCCGCCCAAAGTCCCCGGCCCAAAGTCCCCGGCCGGAAGTCCCCCGAGTTGGGGACTGGCTTCAGTAGAAGCTGCTGGGAGTCCCAGCAGCTTCTACTGAAGCCTTCCGAGTAAATCGCCAGAATGCCGACACCTCCTCATCTCCACCGCTCCCATGTTTTATTTTGTGTTGCCATAAGTTAGTCTCTCTGCGTTTCTGCGCTGGGCTAATGCTAATAATGCGAGTGCGAGGATATGGCGACAATGGCGGCTTCACAAAACTTTTTGGGAGTTTTACGGGGCGTGGTTTGCAATCCGCCCAGCCAATCAGACATATAGCTCTCTTCTCACAAGAGAGCCGTACGAAAGTCCCTGCTCTCTAGCAGGGACTTTCGTGGGGTGAACTAATTTTAGTACCGGCTCTTTTTGGTGTGAACGCGATAAAAGAGGCTAACGTCCACGCTAGCTTCCACGCTAGCTGCTATATGTTTTGCATTGAGGTGATACTTGAGGCTTGATGTACTGCGGTGATATGCGAATTCCTTTTTGCATAATTTGCACACAACCGTGCTCTTATCGACGCTTCCATCCGTCCGTTTTTTAAAATAACATTTCCCACTGTTGTTCACTGTGGTTTGTTGTTGTCTGAAGTCATGAACGTTAGTTGGTGCTCCAGTATAATCGGTACGCCTGAAACTCATCCAGTGAGAAACGTTCCGCGGTGCAAAAATAAGTGCGATTAAAATGCGTTAATTTTTGTGTAATTAATTAATCTTAATTAACGCGTTAAAGTCCCGGCCCTAATAATATATATATACAAATACACAATATTGGACACAGACTATAAAGGGCACACAGTTTCATTCACTAATGAAAGTCAAACACATGTTTGTTTCCACTGTTTTATTGTGTGCCTGTCGCGATAAGCAACTAATTGACTTATCGGCTCCAGAGTATTTGTGTTGGATAATCTATGGTAGGGCTAACCCATACAGTGGTGGGGCTCAAAT